AAATATTGCTGCAGTGTTTATATGGCAACACACATGTTGGATTTATGTAAGTGCCCAGGAATGACAAATTTGATGAGGTCAATGTACATCCAACACTGGTCAACTAAAAAAAAAAAAATCCATCTGTAAAAGAATGGTGTTTTAGAAATACATTGACTTTACCAAAGTACTTTTTATCCACTAACAAGTGCTCATGTATGATTCCAAATGGAAATCAGAATTCCAAAATAGCTAGGAGCAAAGATACGTACAATAAAAAAAGCCATTGTGTACGTCATCATGTGAAAGCTAAGCCCTGGCTGAGCGTCTGCCCTTCACATGTTCCAGCACATATGAATTATTTATCAAGGCACTGGGCACAATGGGTGGTAAGAGCGTCACTGACTGGCAGAGTAATGACAATGCCTGGGCTCATCTTGGAACGCCGCTTACTGATTGGTGACCTTACATGAGTGTCAGACGTTAGCCAATCTTGGCACTGCTCTGCGGTAAGAATCTGTGTGTGTGAGGAGCTGCTTCACAGAATCCAAATTAACCAGCAGCTTCCAAATTGCTCTCTCTACCTGCCAGTGCAGTGCCGCGTCTCATTCTGTAAGTGATTAGCACGTTAACGGAACAGTGCGGGGACTAACTAGCTACTCCAGACCCCCCTTGTTATATCAACGAAAAGACATAGCTGTGAGGTTTAATTCGTAGCAGCGGCGGCTAATGAGTGGATGCTAGAATGGGATGGTGACAGTAATAAGCAGAGACGTTACAGTGTCTCAACACAGGTTCTGTGTGTCATTAGCAATGCATGGGGTTAGGATTCAGGGGCTGATGGTCGCAGAAGTATTTACACATAATCTAATGATGACATGGCTCATCTCCACTCTGACACTTGGTGCAAATGAGTATCTGCGTGACCCTGCCTGATGCTGATGCTCTGTAATAACAGGGAATGGTTGGATCTGCCTGTGGAGCTGGGGGTCTCTTCAGTTTTTTTTATTTTTTTATTTCTTTATTTTTCTATAATTTCAACCTGTATTATAGTTAAATATTGATAGAGAAAGTAATACATACTAGTAAAAATACATAATAATAATAATAATAATAGTATGGGAGCATTTGTGAGGCTTCTAGACTTTTGTAAATATAATATAGTTGGTACTCATAAAGGTGTCATAGCAAGTACTGTACTTTCTTGAGTTCAAAAAGTTAGTGATTATGCAGTGAACTGAAAGGCAGTGTTATATACGATAGGTGGCACACACAGAAGGTGAGCAAAGCTTTTACACAAGTACAGCATTCCAGCTGAAAAGTCTGAAAATCTCAACAAAGCTGCTACAGAATATCTGGTCGCTGGATGGGCATGTTTTTGAGTTGAAGTATGAGAATGGGGAAGTGGAGTATAGAGTATATTAGTACCTGTATCAGTGTATCTCTAGATGTAGTACATTTGTCTGGTTTGATCACTTTCTCTTCACTAAAATATCTTAAAACTTAAATCATATTTCAAAACTAGACACGTCCTCCTTCTGCAGTATTTACTCTGTGTTTGAATGCAGTACGTGAGTTGTCGACATTTAAATTACTTCTATAGGATGATCTGTGGCTATATTAGAGGGTCTAACTCTGTGCTGGGTGTTGAGCAAGATTAACAGTGGATCTTTGGGAATAATCAGTCGAGGCATGAGGATTAGCCACGTGGTGAAGTTTTAAGCAGAATCACTGGTGACTACATTAGTGTAAAGCCAAAAAAAGGAGCTTATATCAGCTCAACCCATTATGAAAAGGAAAGCTAATTATTCTTTTTTAATGCCATTTACTCCCAATGAGGATTAGATCATAAAAAACATTTTTAATACCTAATGGCCACAAAAATGATTTCAGATTTACCAGTTCTTTTTTAAACCTTACCAAACCCCAGACCTCCCAGGAAGCTAAAACTGCGTTTTAAGGGAACATTTGTTGCTGCTTGGTGTAATTAAATCACTCCTCCATCTGCATCACACCTTAGCGATTCAGAGAGGAAATTAAATGAAGCTGACTCCTTAATGTGCACAGTTTGAGGCTGGGCTCTCTTCAGGCCCACTGTCTCATCCGCAGTGCAAAGTAAATGCAAGGATAATGGGTTTAGCCGGCTCGATGTGCTGCTGTTACAGGTTTATCTGTGATGGAAGCTGCTTTTTATGGCATTAGTAGTGGCAAGACAAGGAATGAGTCATAGCCCAGACATTTGCAAATATGATTCTGAGGATTTTAAGTCCTAAAACTACTCTATGTCCCATATCTTCCACCATTAATCATTCAGAAGGAAATCCAAGTCGGTGCACACTCCTTTGAATGTGTTTGCATGCTCTCAGAAATGTGTTTCCAACAATGCTAGGATTCCATTTGGCCTCCACTCTCCGGGATAATCTATTTACATATTTTAATTATCCTCATTCTTGTTTATTTTGTTGGACTGGAAACAGAACTATGTCTGCTGTCCTCTCTGTCCTATTAAAAAAACAAATCCAATTTCTGAGTGTATTGTTGTGTGTGTGTGTGTGAGGCGTTTGGTTGGCCAAGTGAGCAGCGCTTCCAGCTTGGCTGCAGAAAGCAGGTGCTTCTGATCAGCCAACGTGAATAAATACACACATATAGTAACCCAGATAATTTAAGGAGACTAGTCCTGCTGCTGCAGTGAGCATCCTCCCCACCACGGCTGCAGCTTAAAGGCAAACTCTGATGAATTGGAGGAGAAAATATAGTTGTCATTAAACCAGCGGGGTCTGTGTTTTAACATTTGTGTTGTGCTGCATTGTCACAGGGTCTAGATAACAAATAGTGAAAGTATTTAAAGTGTTGCCTTATTTTACTGGTGGTGTTACTCGATAGTTGAGCAGCAACTATCTATCTGACTATCATCAGTCAGGTGATAAGTGTAGACTGGCTGCAGAAAACAGGCTGCTGATGGAAGGTTCAAGAAGTTGTTATTTTAGGGAATTATTCATCAATAAAATTCCATCCCATGATTCCTTTGCGTCCAAATGACTTGAGCGTGTTGACATCATCCCAGTAATAAGTCAAGCCTAATTGGCAGGACTTCCGCCGCCTTATGGGGCAGAGGGAAGCTGTCAGAGTGGGAATGGAGATTAAGGAAGGAAGTGAATGAAGCTGAGGTGTTGGGGAGGGGTAGGGGGGTTTAAGAGCGAGGGACCGCCGGGTGTGTAGTAGCACGGACTGTAGTGCTGTCACTTTGTCCACTCCCTGGCCCTGACAGCAATCCATTTGAGGGCCCCCTGTTGCTAACAGAGTGCTAAAACCTAATCAAACAGACTGGAAAGAAAAAGGTGAGACACTGGGGACCCAGGCAGCTTCTACTTGTGTGTGGAGTTCACCTCTGATTGACCTGTTTAGACATTAAAAATAGGCTGTTCACATCATGAACTGTAAAAAGAGCAGATCTCAGATGCTTTGTCCAGAAAAGTGAAATTAACAGGACCGTCTTAATCATCCTCCCTCTGAAACTGCTTGGTAATAATGGTTTTAGGAAATAAATAAATACATTATAATAGAGTTTTCAAGAAACCTCGTGACAATCCAACTGTTTGTTCTGTTGAAAGAATTTAATGGAGGCAAATTTGTCAACTGCAGAGATAGATGTGCAAGGATTCTTGGTAATTAATGTCCTTGGTAATTAATGTCCATTTAATTTTATCAGTGGCTGTGAAAAAGAATGCTTTAATTGTATTAATTAATTTGTGAAATTAATAATTTTAAACAGTAATTACTATTTTACTATTTATTAACCAAAAACAAATGCCATTATTTGATGACTGTACTTTTTACCATTAAACCAAAGAAAACAGATAAAATAGATCAGTGTGGGAATTAGTATCTATTCCTGTAGTCCTCTCACAGTGACTGTGGTCTCATCTTAAGTTAACTGGTTTAAACAGGTCTTACTTAAAACTTCCTCACTGCATTTTGCTACAAAATCCCTTCTCAAATTTCATTTTTGGTTCTCAGCGACTACTCTTAGATAAGAAATAAAAATATGTCCTACCCTGAGTCGACTTCTTTTCCCAACGTCAGTTCAGGTTTCAGACTTCGGTCAGTCATGCCCCCGTATACTGTATAAGGTTAACACTGAAGCGAGCAAGCACATGGTAGAGCACACAGATATATAATTTTTTTTGGTCATTACAGTTCAGTGTTATGTTCGACATTATGTAAATGTTACGTTACTGTTATGACATTTAACTGCTCGGCCAAAAACAACCAGCAAATTTTTTTTTCTCTATTTACCTCCTGATTTAACAAACTATTTAGCAGAATAATCGACACCAGCCTGAAGAGGCACCTCCGTCTCCTTTACTCTACTAAATCAGCAGGAGAAAGTGACGTCTGTCAGTGTAGTGTTGGACTCCGTCCTCTGGCTCTGTGTTCTGCTTTTTCTTCCTTATTTTCTTTGAAATATTGGGTGAGAACCTAATGAGCTATCACTGGGCAGACTAAACCCATGTAAGATGGTCTTCACTGGCACTATTCTGCTCTGTTTTTTCCCCTGTGTTTTTGCATTTACTGTTAACTCTGACAAAATTGTAATAATTATTTTCCCTCCATTGTTGAAGAGACGGCCTGCAGGAGCAGTGATGCCAGGATCTGGGGAAAAAAAGGGGGGGGGGGGGGGGGGAAAAGACGAGGCTGCGACATTTTGTATCTCTGACGATGTAGTGGACTCTAACAGAACCAGAGTTGGCGATGTGATTTTCCTTCTTCCACTCACGTGTCCCCCTTCCTTAATCCTCCAGAAATGGCTTGTTAAAGAGGGTTGTGGGGCAGGGGGTATGGGGGGGGGGGGGGGGGGGAGACAGGCCATGGTGCCAACTTTTATTATTTCTTCTAGAAGAGAGTTTGTCTTATTAAACCAGGACGTTGTTGAAAAAAAAATATTTTATTGCTGCTGAAACTTTGCTTCTTTTAGGCATTTGGTCAATTTCTTTCTCTCAAGTTTTGGTCTTGGATTTCAGGACATGGGGGATGTGGGCAGGAGAACCAAAGAACCAGTACAGTCAGATGGTGTATGAAAATGGAGAGCCCTGCTGGCAGGGAGGGTCCCGCACTGCTACAGTAAGTACAACATTTGCTTTACAGACTTATGGAACATATGAGTGCAGGCAAAGTGCTGCAAAAATTAAGACAAAGGCAGATGAACACATTAAACGTCCAACAAGACAGCAGAATGACAGGGAAAAAAACAGATGAAGGAATGATTCACTTTCAGACAGATCAGGATAAGATGCAGAATTACACAGTTATTCTGGTGTAGTTTTAACAGTAGTCACTATCACTTTTGAATGTTTTTCATTCATCCATACCAACAATTTTGACTTCTGTCTATTTCTACCATTTATCTTATTATTGAACATTGCTGCTTAATTTCCGGCCTAAAGTGAAAAATCACCAGTTGATTTACGCGATTTAAGACATGTTCCAACATCACCCAGTTCAGGGCAGTAAACCAGTCTGCAGTGGACTGACTGTAGAGCCATGAAGATATTAAAAGATTGTTTCTTATTATTATCCCTTCACTTGGATTAGTCATAAAAACCCAGTGTGAAGCCCAAAAAATTTCCTGCTATTTTAATTTTTCTGTTTCAGAAAAAAATAAAAAACAAAAGCCATATATATATATATTTGGTCACAGTTAGAAATGTTGATTCATCTGGGTTAACCATTGTTAATTACCATCATGATTAATGTGATTTATCCCAAACTACCCTATTATTTATTAGATTAGAATTGCTGACTGTTGGACAGCAATAATCCAATATGATCCTGCTCCACACACCTTCGTTAAATAAGGTAAATAAAAACAATCTCAGAACTCTCAGTACTCTGCTGTGGTCCGACTAGATTTTGCAGTAATCCCTCTGAGATTTTTTCCTGCCAAAATGATGGAGAGGATTGGAGCCCGCTGCGCTTCTTGCAGCAGTGAAAAATTACTGCACTTTGTTTTTCCATAAACTGTTTTCTCCTCACTCTGCTTAATCTGTGCAACACGCACGGTAAATTGTTTTCAGAAGAAACAGCAGTGCTTACTCAATACAATGATTTCCACTGAAGTCTGTTTACAGCTGAACGGCCCAACACAACTTACAGCTGTGGCAAAATTGGCCCAAAGTCAGAGTCCTCTGGTCGTAGATTTTACAAATGATAACCGACTTTAAATTAACCGGTCCTGCAACAAAGTCCTAAAGTACTGCAAAAATGACTTCAGCAATCAATTTTAGAAATAAGCACTATAAAAGTTACACAGACTGTTTATTTCCAGTGACACAGCAGCCAGATGGTGCATTCAGTCCACACTGAGAGAGGGAGATGGAGAGAGTGAGAATTCTGTTCAGTCAGTTTGCTCTTATTTCACTTACATCCTGTCGTTGTTGTGAATGACTTGGACTTGGTCTTTTTCCCGAGTCTTTGGAGTTCTACTTTATGTCCTAGTAACAAGAGACAACCCTAAATATAGTCCAGTCTCTAAAGGTAGTTAATAGGTGTTTAAAAAATAGGTTTCGTTCAACTAAAAAGACTACTTAATTGTGTAATTATTATTATTATTATTATTATAGGTATAGGTATTTTCGATGACAGACTATCTATCCATCTATCCACAGTATGTCATATATATATGTTATGGCAGACTATATGTACTATATGTATATATATTTATATATAGATATATACACGATACAATACTATACTACTACATTCAGTATGATACAGGGAGTTGGGGAAACACAATTTTTTTCCCCCGCAAATTATGCATGTTGACTGTGTATCAGGGCCACAATAATCGTATGGTTAGTAGAACTATTACATACAAAGTATGGTCAATTTGTACACGTTTTAAGTGAGAACACCTGATAGTCGTGTGTGAGGTCATGAACTCCAATCTAGTCAGACATGTGCAGTGATTACAACAGACTTGGAGCTTTACTCTACAAAAGTTCAGCACTGGCTTAGCGACCTCCGTCCGATTCTTTTATTAAGTCTATGAGTCAAACACAGTCTTTTTCAATCCGTCTATGAGTCAAACACAGTCTTTTTCAATTATAGTCCTGGACTGAAGTACTAAGGCATTGTGTATTTGTACTTGAGTGTTGGAGTGTGTCAGTCAATACCAGATGTTGGCAACACGCTCAGCAGCCCGGCAAAAACATGTTTAGTCCAAAGCCAAGAAATTGTGGCTGACGTGTTTTATTTTCTGTCTGTTCACATTGATCTTCATAGTTAAAGCTGCATCTGCCTGCAGCTCTCTCCTCTTTCTTCTTCTTCGGCGTATACTCTCAGGATTCCCACCTCACTCCGTCACCCCTGAGTCTTCCGCTTACATTTCTTTTTCGTGTGTCAGAATTTGCTCAATTAAAAATGTAGCACATTTAATCATGTCACTTTCTCTGCCTGGCCTCCTCTCTTCACATAAGAGTCCAATGAACGGCGTTTTGCAAATGTACTCACACAGACCAAGAGCCGCCCTTTGAAAATGTTAAACCGGATTTCTTTGATGTCGACCTCCCAGCCGTGTGCAGTGGCCATAGATGAAGTTTCGTCAGAAGCCGAAGGCTCATTATAACTGTGAAGCTGAAGCTCATCTTTGGGTGTAGAGCTCTCTCAGTCTTTCACTGCCCCCTCTTTATACTTGAGTGGTACAACCACTGATGCATTGTTTCACTGGTGGATATCAAGGTTATCCAAATTCAAGCAGTGTTCAGGTTCATAGGGGAAGATGAACCCAACTGTTTCCTATATAAATTGAATTCCAATGGCTGGACGGTGGCTTCTGCATGTGTGCTCTGGGTTTAGCTGTAGCTGCGGCAGATAATATCGTCTGTTGCTTTTGAAGCAGTGACAGTTTTTCTTACCAATGATAATGAAAGTGTAGACAACGGGTGCTCAAATATAACCTGGATGTTAGGACAGTTAGGTGGTGTAATATCATCCATCAGCAGAAGTAGTGCTGCTCTCTGTCAGTGTTTTCAAAGAGTTTAAAAAGGCTGTTGACATTCCGATAGGCCAGAAGGAGACAATTAGAACACCGGTCAACAGACGCAAAACATTTATTACAACATAATGTTTTTGTCATGCTGTTGGAGTACTACACTCTAACAACACAATGGTCTTTACATCAAGTAGCTACCTGGTTCAATTGACCCTGATTGCTTCAAAAGCATCAAACATGGGATTTCTTTGGGACCAGCAGTTTTCTCCAACAGCCAAAAACAAACATGAGATTGAGTCAATTAGACTTGATTTGACAGTAGATATGAAAATGGACATGAATGGTTGTTTGTCTCCATGTATGCGTGCTTGCAATGGATTAAGGATGGATGGACGGACTGATGGATGGATGGATGAATGGTTGTTTGTCTCCATGTATACTTGCTTGCAAGGGATTAAGTGGTAGATCTTGAATGGGTGGATGGATGGATGAATGGGTGGGTGTAACTTCCCAGTTAGTGGGGGATTAGAGATTCCTTATTTTCTTTAATATCTAACAGTTACAGAACACAAAACAGTATTGTATACCCTTTACTGTAGGTAGTAAAATACCTACAACTATCTCTTAATATGAAGTACCTCAATGCACAAAGGATTCCTCATTAACATCTGAACTATTTTGGACTTTGGATGAACCTTGGCAAAAAGTTCCATAATGCACTGCACTGACACCACAGAATAACTAACTGTTAATATCTTTCAAGGAGAGCAGACAGCAGAATTTAACAAACAGAATTTGGGCCAAAAGAAAAACGATAAGAAAAATAAATATTTTGGCTTCTGGTCTGAATCAATAACTCTGCTACCTTAAAGTTCAAATATTTGTGCACCAGAAGAAAACTAACAAAAAACCCCCCTCACATCTAGGCAAAGAGAAAATACTTTCTTCCAGCGAATTAATATCCTGGTGCTAAGATGATATAAAGTGACACAAAAAAACCCTTCAATTTTTTATAATCCCCGTACAGGACAAAACTAAATCCTCCCATGTACCAGACTCCCAATAATACCTGTCAAGTTCTTCCATCTCCCTCTCCTGTACTTGAGGCTTTTGTTCGCCAGAGGGATTGTCTCTTGAGGGTGTAGTGAGATGTGAGGGGGTTGCCATGGAAACCCCCCTAGCAGAGAAATAAGTTGTTTTTCCCTCCTCTTTCTCTTCTCTTGCAGAAGGTGTCAAAGTTAGGGATTAAATGACATGACAGTGGTAATCACATCTACCTCTATCCTGTTCACACAAACACTCACACACGCTGACGATCACTGTGATTTCCTGTGCTGCCACAGTGAGCAGAGCAGAGCTTTGGTGCTTGTGCTCTCACAATGCAGCGTGGCCAGTGATGAAACTCTTGAGTGTAGTCCACAATCAGAGCAGGATGTGTCCCTAGTTTTGTGTCCTATTAGCGTCTTCTTCAGCAAGCTGTAGTAAAGGACAGAGAAGGACTTAAACAAGGAGGTGGGACAGTGTCTTGTAAGAGCGCAGCATCTCTCTCCAGGTAGAAAACACTGGCACGGCTCTGCACTCAGTCCCAGAAAACCGCTCTGCCACAACTTTTTTCCCTGTCTTTGTGCTTTTCTAGGTCACGTTGACATGCGGAACAGAGACAGCCCTGCGATCGGTGAAGGAGCCCAGCAAATGCCAGTACATCATGGACTTTCAGACTCCCGTGGCCTGTCAGCCCGTGCTAAAGCAACGGGGCATACACAGCGAACTGTGACCCGCACCGTCTCCCCTTTGTCTCCACATTGGCCTGGCCTAGATTAGCTTAGCCGCTCCACAACCCCCCGCCGCCCCCCTCCAAAAATGTCTGCCCTTCAGTGACAGACCGGGGTCCTGAGGGTCCAGTCTGACATCTGTTATCAGAACATTTACTTCCAGTGTAGTCCAGCTAAGGTCAGTATGGGATTTCTAGGTCTGTAGAGTTTAGTTTTCTCCGTCTCAGTACTGCCTCCTTTCTGAAAGGCTGAGTTTAGTGGATCAGTTAGTATTGATTACACTGCAGTATACAACATATACATTTCAGCCGACTGCGTTGTTTCCCTGTAAATAATACAATAGTAGGCCCAGCAGTAAAACAGTCCTGGCGTTCTCTCTGTTTCTATTCTGTTTACAGATGAGACAGAGTGAATCTCTGGAGCTCTTTAATTGGACTATAGATGCAATATTTTTATGATAAATACAAGAAACTAACTAAATATATAGTAAAAGATTGTTCCTTAATGTGGCGGTCATTTTGGTCACGTCCATGACACCATCAGAGTGCTGTGTATAATGTGTAAAACCAGATGAACTGAGATGCACTGCAGTGCAAGTGTTTCCCTTGTTCTTTGATATAACCAAAATTGTTATTTTAAACTTCCTCCCTGTAAATACTGATTAAGTGAACAAATACTGCACCTAAAAATCCACAACCAAAAATTATTCAGTTTGCTAGAGAACAGTATCAACTTCTCTTGCTATCTTCTGGCTTTATATTAAATGTAACTCTTGCCAAGTAGGTAACATTTAAAGAGATATCGAACAATAATTCCGTAAATACACCAATATGAAATACAACCTTGTATTCTCTTTGAGAGCTCTGAAAACTAAGGCAATATGCAGTAAAAACTGACTAATGACTACACTAGAGAAAGTCACTTTCTTGAACAGTACTCAGCAAATTAGGTAGCTGTCGTACCACAGATGGGTTAGGTTGATTCTTGCATGGTCTTCACTCTCTTTGGTCATTAAAATAAATCATATTATTATTGACAACTAGCTATCGGCCAAATGTAGGGGGTTACAAGGACCAGAAGTGATCCCTATGTTTGGTAACCCTGTCGTCTAAAGACTTTTCTTAGAGGGAATTTAAGAATAGTTGCATATTTTTCATATTGTTCCGAGTTCCACTACAGAAACAGAACTCAAGAAACCCAAGCTCCAGCTGGGTTATAAAAAAACGTATGGTACCAAAGCGCCCAACATATAGTATGAGGCCTTATTTTTTTATGTCCTCCTCTTGTACATCCATCATTCCTAGCTGTGGAACCCAGGACTCTGAACTTTGAGGACCTGGCTTTCTTTACCAGTTTGGATTTTGGGATTACCTTTGGGACTGTAGACAACACTCTGTGTATTCTCTCTTCTAACAGTTTGCCATCATTTATATTTGTATCTTTCTCTGCATCTGCCAAATGTGTTAAGAGAAAATCCCAAAAAAATCACTAGGTTGTCTAAAAACAAATATGCTTAAAACTGCCACCTCAAGACATGATATCAGTCTTCTCCAGTTAAAGACTGCAAAACCCCAAAAATATTACCACTGATCAGTCAGAGTTTATCCACCAATCTTGCTGACTCCTGCTTTAAAGACCAACAGCTTTAATGCTGTGTGTACAGTAGAAGGTTGAAGAAATAAAACAACATTTTTATGTACCTAATCTCTGACTACGTCATTTTTATATAAGTAATATTATCCATATATAATGATAGGTGTTGTACGTGTCTGCAGTCTTATTAAGCCACAGATTAACTACTAATACAATGTCACCACAGTTTCACAATATTTACAGAATCCCTGTTATTATTAGTAATGAACTGTTTACCTCTCTTAAAATCATTCGGTTCTGCCGGCGTAAGCAGTCTGCTGTTTACTGTCTGTGTGTATGTGTGTGTACTTCATGACGTTGTTATGTAACACAGCAGATAGCTGGGCTTTATGCAGCACAGACCTCTTCTCATTAAGGGCCAGCTAAATCAGTTGTCAGGTATCCAATAGGCCGCCTGATATATTCCTACCCTGCTGGGGCGACCGGGTGGCTGTTTGCCTGCTAGCAATGCTGTAGCCTCAGGCTCTGTAGCCCAGGGACTGCAGCTTCTTATTTATCCGGCTTTAGTTCACATACATTTTCTCCTTTTCTTAGTAAAACTATTGTCTAGCCTTTGTTTTGTTCTGAATAAATACTATTTTCCTATATTGGTATCTCTGCTAAAACCAGTCACTGCTCTTTTTTTCTTTTTTTTTTTTTTGCTTAACTCAAATATTGTTTTCTAATGTGTTAATGATGTGAAAATCTGACAGAGCATTAGGTAAGTATCCAATCAAAATTCAATTTGTTCAGCCAAACTTAAACAGAATAAGATTTAATCTTGAAAATGCAACAGTTGCCTGAGCTGATGTCAACAGAAAAAGCCGGCTCTTTAATCAGAAGCAGCAGGTGTAGATGCTGTCAATCACCCTGACTCTGAGGAGCATCACTCTGTATGATATTGCAGGGAGCATTAAAAAATGCCATTGCCATATTGTGGCTGTGTTGTTGTATACTATAAATAATATTTCCCTAAAATAGAAAAGAATCCATCATTTTGCAATTTTTGGCTTAAAGTTAAAAATAAAATTATGTATATATACATATATGTGTGTGTTATAAGTATATATTGTAAGTAGTCTGTACTGTAATTCAGGTTAGTTCTGATAACGTATTATATTTTTCCCTTTTCTCTTGCAGCGGTCACTATTTACACACTTTTTAATAATATTGATCCTGGAGTTGATCACGCTTGATGTCTTTACTTTCGACTGTCATTTGACACATGACACAATAATTAAAGAAGTTTGTGAAATTCCTAGGTTCCTAATAGGGTTTGATCCATTAACAGTTTTTTTTTTTTTGTAGATTTAAGACGGCAGTAGGCATCATCTCTGCCACCTACTGTACCGAGTTTGTTTTATCACTAATTCATTTCTCCACAGGTACAATTGGAAAATACAGGTAGGAGGCAGTTTCCAAGCATATGTAAATACAAGGGGTGTCGATATTGATATGCCAATGTATTGAGCATGACGGCTACATTCTAAGTAGCTAGGTCTCACTATTATTGTGTTGTAGCTTATTGCATGAAAAGGCCCTTCAGCACGATACTGATAGATGAGAGTGTTAAATGAGCGTATGATGCATATATGTGTTGATATGAGGTTGTGACAGTTGTATTTACACATTGTATTTCATAACTGATATATGTAATGTGTTCTTTTGCAACAGTTAGAGATATGATCAAATTAAATAAGTTAAAATATGAACGTGGAACATATTTTTTATTAAAGAGCTCCATTTCTGTATTTATTTCATTTTCATTTAATATTAACCAAATTGTTCCAGTGGACTCACCACCCGCAGGAAGGTTTGGTACGGTGCAATGTGATTTGGGTGGCGACTGCTGCCCCCGCGACCCGGTAACGGATAAGCGGATGAAAATGGATGGATGGATGGATTAACCAAATTGTATTGTGTGACAATAAATTGTCAATGTTTAACTTCATGTTCTCTTTTTGAATATTTTAGGGATCCAGCTCTCCGAACCTAGGGAGAGAGTAAGACTTCTTGGGAAGGGTACAGTGAGGAAACCTCAGCACATGCTGAGCGCGCACACACACACACACACACACACACACACATACACCCACTGTACACACTTCAGCACATTTGCACATGAAGGAGAAGCGATGGAGATGATTTTATGTCATGCGTGGGTGCATTTGTGCTTCGACTTTAAACTGGTTAAAGGGCCCAGAGGCTTTAGATTGCGTTAAATGTGCGACTCAGCGTTCTTGTAACTATTTCAGGACACCTGTTTCACAGAGTAGGACACAGCTTGGCCCTGGACGACTGACGGGTAGACTGACGCCCACAACATCCTAGTGCCAGGGACTGTTTAAAGCCTGCTGCATTGAAGGTAGGCCAGTTGTACTCTAAAGTCTCGTACTCCAGTTGTTTTAGTCCCAATACTTTACTCTGAAGCCCGTCATAGTCCACTGGGGTTGAAAAGTTTGCCTACACGTCTAGAAAAGCCTGGTGAAAAGTTCAGTAATTTTCCCTTATTTTAAACAATCTGCACTCTTAACATTAGATGTCACCAAAGTCATATTAGTGTAATTTGGAGCATCTTCGTCGCCTCCTGGTGGATTAGTTATCATTCATCCACTGACTGTGGGTAGAACAGAACAGGTTAGTCCAGATAGAACAGTGAACTGAGTGTAGAATACTAAGGGACAAGTGCTCTGTTAGCCTGACGTGTACTGCCATATGTATGGAAGTATTACTTCAGTGTGTAGTTTATACTGTCTTTTACTGTTTGTTTTTTCTAGCTTCTGTTTAAAATATAATATATAAATAAAAAGAAACACAAAACAGAAAAAGAAAGTAGCTTCTCAGCTGTACTGTTTCATGTTTCCATGCCATTACCTAGTAGTTGTACTTCTGACCTTTTTCTTAAAAAAGAAAAAAAGTAATTATTTTATTGCGTTTTTAATTGGAGCAGATGAAAACAGAAGTGCCTAAAACAGAACCATTCAGAATTCCTGTGAGTATTTCAGTTCATCAGGTGACGACAGCAAAGAAAAAAACAGTAGTAGTTTGGTGTCAGTTAAATCTAATGAGATGTGCTGTTATTGAATATTGAATTGAATAAAGCAGGCCAATTGCAGCCCTTACACAGATGTTACATATGTACAATTGTTTATGAGTAATTGAATGTAACGTGTGTGTCTAAAGTCTGGCTGTGGGGCCAAATTGTGTCCCTTGCAAAGATCTTACATGACCCCATCACCTTATGTGTATCTGTAATCCTCTTGTCAGGGCTGTCTGTTTCCCCTTCCTGTCCTGTCTGCTGGGTGGAATTGAGTGTGATCACACTCACCTGTGTCTCTGTCATCAGTCTTACTCGTGTCACCTGGGTATATATACCTCTCTCCCTAACTCTGTCTTGGTGAGATCATTGTTCTGTTCAGTTTGAGTGAGTCAGTCCATGTGTTTGAAGAAGTCCATGTTTGTGGAGAAGACCATGACCTGTAGTTGATGCTTTTGTTCCTGTGAGTTTATGTTGTTTTTGGTTTTTGTAATAAACCTGTTGCACCTGTAGAGAGTCTCCCTTGTGCTGGATTTGGGTCTTGCCAGCTTCATACCATGCCAGCCTGCAACACAGGCATGGGCAAACTAAGGCCCAGGGGCCGGATGTGGCCTGTTCATCTTTTTAATCCGGCAGCCAAACTTTTCCAAATTATATAATTTATATATCTTATCATTATATTTCTCCCTTTTTCCTGCAATATCCATGTTTTCCCAATAGATGGCATAGAACATTATATAATATATATAATTAAAATAAAAGCATTTTAACCTTTATGTATGACTTTTGCATGTCATTTATCTTAGTTCACACGAACACTCTGCTCCTTACCTGGCCCCCTTGTTTTAGTACAATTGTGGCCCGTGAGTAAAAAAGTTTGCCTACGCCTGCCGTAACACCTCTAGTGTTCGTTCGATGGTGTGAGTTAGTTCCAAATTGACCTGAAGTCGAGGAAAAGATGGTTTAGCTCTCATCCAAGAGAGTTCTGTAAAAAGAATGTCTGAGATCAGACTAAATCTAGGGAGTGAATGAAATGAAAACCATAAAGGGCAGATTAATGTAAAGTAGCACCGTTAGCAGCAGAGATGATGGTAAACAAGGGTACATATTGACAGCATGTTAAAGGAAAGGTGAAGGAGGAAAGTGATAGAAAGACAATGACTTAAACAAAAACAAACGTAAAGAGATCTGGTGGAAGCATCTCTGCCAATCCTGGAAGAGCTTGAACCTGTCTGTGTTTGTGCTCTCACATCACAGAGTGAGGAGCAACGAAAGCGCGTCACCGTTGGAGGCTGGAGGGCCGAGCTGTGAGAGCATGTGGTAACCAGTGGACTCCCCCGGTCGGCGTTCTCTGTTGGAGGCCTGGAACACCAGAAGGTAGAGCAGATATATTTTCAATAAGAAATTGTTCTCCACCATTCAGTGACAGTGACAAAAAGGTCAAATTATCTGAGCTTAAAGTCACTTTAAAACTGAAATGGCATGTGCAGTGACAGAAAGCCTTAACATTAGCCAGCAGGGACATGACACAAGACCAGTCAACAGTGTCAGAAGCATCATTTGCAAAAAAACGTAATAATGTCTTACCTTTGTAGAAGTGTTTGCATCTGGGACAGTTTAAGGTAGGGAGAAATAATCAGAGCTGCTGCTCCAAACTAAATTATTGATATTCAAATTACTGAATAAACTCCAATAATGCAGCTCATTCAGCTTTTTAATCCGGCCCGCCAAACATTTCTAAATTATATAATTTATTTATATTATCATTATACTTATGCTTTTTCCCTGCATTACCCACTCCCCCAATAGATGGCATAGAAAATGATAAAATAATTTAGCATTTTACTTTTTCATGTCATTTACCTTAGTTCACATGAACCCTCCATCTATCGGCTCCTGACCTGGCCCCTCTGCTCAATGTAGGACCAATTGTGTCCCACCAGTCACAAGGTTTGGCCACACCTGGGTTAGAGGCAATGCAGTGGAGTAGACTGACAGCCCATCAGCGTGTGTAAATGACATCCTGTGTATCATGTGTGTATGAAAGCGACAATGAGCGGACAGATGGTGGAATTAGTGGATATTCATTGGATGTGTTTAACATATGTAAATTATTTACAAATTAGTTTTACAATTACTTCACAAATAATTTTTTGCTGGAACTATTTTTTTCTGATGGACACGTTTTCTGTGTGGTCCACGTTTACCACCCAACCTGCTGGTAGAAAAGGGGCCTGTGATGATGACAATTTCACCTGTGTAGATGGTTGAGCTTCACACTTGTCGGACAAAAACCAGCAGTGACAGGCTGAAACTTGATGGACAGCCACTATCCAGCCCATTTCCTTGTCGTTCTGCAGCTGTTTCTCCAACAGTAAAGTGGGTTTGTTTGCTCTTTTAGCTCCTTTTAGGATGATAGATGAGAGGAGATGCAGAGGGCATGCTTAATCTTTCACAGTGAGAGAGACCAGAGAGTGAAAGGCAGGCGAGGCTCTATGTAAATAAACCGAACGTAGAGTTTAGCAGGGAACGATGATCAGTGCTCACAGATGAGAGGAAGAAAGACCCGAGAAAGAGAAGTCGACAAAAACGAGCGAGCACGAGTTAGGAGAAAGCAAGTGATTAAAACAGAACAACATGGAAAACAGATGGAGAGATGAAGGCATACGTCTAGATGAAGAAAGAGGAGAGTTAGTGGACTATAACGAGGGGGAGACGAGGAGCAGCGGGAGCCTAGTGGGTGAGGGGAGGGGATTCTGGAGGGCTATATTGGGCTCGTTTTCTCCACAGGAGCTGCTTAATGAGCACAGAGTTTGTAACTAATTATTGGTTATCAACCTGATAATAGTCATTGCTCCATTTTGTGTAGCACATTCCACATACTTATACAATTATGGCAATTATTAATGAAGCCGAGTGTTTGAATCACTGCTCTGAATTTCAAAGATACGGCCTGGCCAGACTCCGTTGTTTTATGAGGCAAAAATAGTGGCGTCTGTCCGTGATGCAGGTTAGTGGAGAGGAAGGCAGATAAAATAGTAAGCAGTGGATTCTTCTCAGACAAAAAGTAAACAACAATTTTAGTTTTCAAAACAACTCTCCGCATTTCATTTTGGAAAAAAGTTGGCAAACTGAGAGTGGGCTCATAACCTTTCCCAGCTTCTGCTGCGCTTAATATTTGATCGTTGTGTAACCACACGTGGCTTAAGGTTTGAACAAGTGGAGTGGTTGCAGAACAGAGTCTGTGACTGAAATGTTATAAAAACTGCACTGGTTCATAGTGGAGAAGAATCATCTTCAATCATGATCAATGGACATCAGGTCCGCATGACTCTGCAATTTATCAACCACCTTCTTAGGTACATTATGGCTTAATTTCTGTTGGCCACAGTGGTGGCCAATGATTTGTCACAGTGGCTTTTAAAGTGTGGAGCACACCTCCGCTGGAGGACGTCGGAGAAGCTCAGAGCAGGCTGATGATGTTTCGACATCAATGTTTGGCTTCTAAAAACAACTCTCTGAGTTTCATTTTATAAACAGGAGGACTTTCAAAAACAAAGTCTGTGACTAGAGTAATGGTCTGTTCTGTATTACCAGTTTGAAACAGTAAAAATTAGGATCAGACTGATGGAGAGAAGTCACACTCTTTTTTGCCCATTCATTTTGCAGTCTATTGTATTGTCTAGTGTCAAAACTCGTCCTAGAAGATATAGATTTTATTGTAAATTCATTTTGTCTTCTTAAATAGCGGAGAGGCCACTGTTTCCTGCTTGGGCAAGACTTGGATTTAAATTTTAGATTATCTCTGTGAGGAGGGAAAAGGTGGAGCTATTGTAGCTCAACGCATGTTCAGGACTGTTTCCGATTCTGTTGTGCTAAATACATGTCAATAACAGACCAAACGCAGAGCCCCGACACTGACAGTCTTCCAGCACCAACCAGTGCATGACATTGAGCTGCAGACCTACAGTATCATCCTGCCTGCTTGTACAGGCATCATTGATTTCTCTAAGTTCGTGTTGAAAGACTACATATTTGATCAAAGCTGCTGGAATGGCATTTTTTTCCCCAAAGTGAGAAGAGCAGGAATAGATCAGGAGAGGAGGGTCTGCCACGACAGATCTGGATCAAAACTACCTTTTGCAGAATCAAAGTCAGCGCCATCAATATTTCATCACAGGAGAAGCTGCCAGTCCGTCCTGCAACCTCTCCTTTTCACGTCTCCCCATCTTGTCCTCTCTGTTGCTTGCCCTCTCCATTTTTAAGATGAATTGTATATTGCACTTTTCAGAGTTTTACATTCACCTTCGTCTTCATCATGCCTTCTTTCCCTCTATAGACCTAAAACAAAACAAAAAAGCTAATCCCTGTTTCTTTTCTCTGTTTGTCACCCTAATGCTACTATCATTTGTTCTGTTTGTACTCATTTTTATTTTGCAAACTTTAAGATGGTTAAGATACAGCATTGTCTGGACTAACTAGAAAATTAGCAATTAGCATGTAAAGGTTATTATATTTGGTTCCTTCCTCTCACACCCGCCCTAGTTTTATATAACAGTGACATTATATAAAATTACATTTTGGTTTACTACTTTGAATAATTATGTTGAGTTTAAACTAGTTTATATTGTTACTAGCTTTGTCTGTTTTGGGTTATCCATCTTTTGACTTTTGAATATAATTGCATGGCGCTTTGGCCCAGAGGCAATGTCACTGTCATTGGTGTGGAACCCCAGAGTTCACCTCCTGGGCAAGATCGAATCCCGTTTAGGGCGGTTGGTACCTTCCAGTGGACTCACCACCCGCAGGAAGGTTTATGGGGGTTGGTACGGTGTAGCGTGATTTGGGTGGCGGTCATGGAGACTGCTGCCCCCGTGACCAGGTAATGGATAAGTGGATAAAAATGCCTACATGGAGTGGCAAACAGTACAGGTCTAGTTTGGTTTTTTGTTTGCTTTCTAAAGTATCTTGTGTTTGGTCAACTTGTAATTTATTTTTTAGGGGCTTTTTTAAAAAAATGTGTCTGTTAATCCTAGCTAGTTCTTGTTTGTTTTCTTAGGTTAGCCTTTGTTAGCAGTTGTGCTTTTTTATATTATTGGAATTCTCTCAGACAAAACATATCTCACTTGGCAAATACTTTGAGTCTGGCATGTAGCACTCTTGAAGGACACCTGAAGTCTTTCCTGAAGGGCAACTAGTGTGAAATCTCTCCAAGACTGCTGCCTGCTGTTGCTCCTAAAAGTAGCTCTGTCTTCTGTTCAGTTGATAAAAACAAATGCCAGAAGAAGACCTTTAAAAAAATGACTTGTCCTAAATATTTCAAAGTGACCTGAACTTTTGGAAACAAACTTCAGACATGAATCGTATTAAATTGACAGGAGACGTCATGTACAGTCTAATTAAGTCCATGTGATCCTGGAAAAAAATCTAAACATGGTGCAACTTTCTTTCTCATCGCACCCAAAAGATTAGAACTTTTGGAGAAATCTATGCAAATGGATTTGCAACAAGTTAAAGTTACTTAGCCAGACAGTATGTCATACCCATGAACACAACCCCAATGTGTCAGAATTTGGAAATTCTCTCCCAAATCTAAGGGGGGGGGGGGGCTGCAGCATTCATGCTGTGCAGAAACTAGGCTACAGTGTGCTTAACATGGCACCACACGGACTAATACTGGAGGAGGTTAAGTTAATGTGTTCAGGAGAAAGACGAACACACACACGGAGAGAGAAGGTATTAAGGCAGAGGATAGAAATGAAACTTTGCATTAATTTTAGTGGGAAATTATGTCTGTGCATCTCAGTAATTATAAAGCTATTCACAACAGACTGATAGGCCTCCGGTGGACTTTTTTTTCTCTCCTCCTTTCTACCCTCGCAGCCTTATCTTTTCCCACCACAACTGCACAGACTCCTACATGCATTTTAATATGGTAATTATCAAGTGAATTCTAAACACTAACCAAAAGAAAAAGCTGGCGAAAGCATTTAAAATGGGATTCAGCCACTAGCTTCCTATATCAACAGCCAGTTGAGCTTCTCTCGCTTCCTGATTAGGGGGCTGGGGGGATTTATTGGGGTATTTATAGCCCCTTCCTCTATTGTCGCTACTGGCAGACGAGCTATTTACGGTATTTTTGCTGTCGTCACTTGGGTGATTTGCACCCTTGATAAACTAAGCCAGTGAATGCGTGAGCTTATTATTGAACAGAGCTTGTTTGGACAGATATTCTCCACATGCATTAACTTATAGAAAAGTACTGCTACGCTGAGTGTGCAGATTTTCATTGTGAGCCGCTGTCCTCCCACATTCTGCACCTCAACTGGAAAACAAAAAGTGTTTTTTGACAACCTTGGTCCTGGAGTTGCTTTTTGCCAACTGAAATAAAAGGATACAGAGGTAGAGAGATACGGAGGAGGAGGAGGTGAGGTCTTCCCTGTGGACTCCTCTATCTCCAGGCAAGTTTTTCTCCTGTTTGATGGAGCTCAAAAGAGTTTTCTCACTGAGGCAAAGTTAAGGAGCAGCAGCAACTTTGTGCTACGGGTGAAAACATCTGAGCGTTCAGTTTACCAAAAATCATTTGCAGCGTCATCGCAGGCAAAGTTGCTCTAAATCTGCTTTGTTTCCAGGGTCACAGAGGCCAGAGGATCTATTTGTCTAAAGTCTACATTGCCATAGGTTGGTCCTAGATTCCCTTTAGTTTGTAAATGTGTTGTCTTTCTGAAGTCTTCCTACTTTTTACTTTCTGTCCTGGCATCCAGAGTGGGAGGGAAACAGATGCAGATTTAATGGAGTGTAAATCTTGTGAATCTGAAATAGTTTACTTCTCAGTTTTTAACAGTCAAGTGCGCCATTGCACTCAAACAATTGTCATTACTCACACAAGTCCTGTGGTCCCCCGTGAAAACATCAAACTGTGCTTCCTCAAGCATCCAGTGCTATGTGACACGACAGATTTTTTTTTTCTCTTTTAATTTTGAGAGTCAACAAAGCGTCTCCCACTTGGATTACAGCAATTCTCTGAGTCTCACTAACAGCAATGCAAATCTGGTATCAGTTTAAGTGAGTCAGTTTCCCTTGTACTGGTCTTGTGATTAGATTATTTTTTACAATTTTTACAAATATTGTGTAATTTTGTAATTTTGATCTACCCTAAATTACAGAATAGGGTCAGTTAAGTCAAAGTCTGAAAAATTCCTTTAGTCCGTACTAAAGTCAATAGCCTTAAGGATACATCAACATATTAGTTTAGAAGACAAACAACAAATGTCTTTCCCATGTCAATGCATTTGTAATAACTATAAATAGTAGATACGTACATTGACAATACCCTAAAATTAGGTCAAAATATGAGGAAATGTTACCAAATAATAGCTAATAATTAGCCAAGAACAAGTATATGCTACTAATACCTATTGGTTACTTGTGGTAAATGGAAGAAATTGTAAAAAGTAAATTCTTTGCATCTAATGGTGTATTCTAGTGTAGATGGCCACTCCAAACGTATCCTCATCTACATGGAGTGGCAAACAGTACAGCCTACAAGCCTGGGTTTTAACTCACAACCCCTAGATTGACGACCTTTGATAGAATACATTTTAAAAGATTAGAAATTACATATTTTACCCTCATCCCAAATATTTTTTACATAATCTTGGATTTACTCTGACATCTATCATTTTGGATTTTCGTGCATTGTTTTCCTACAGTGCTAAACACCACAGCACAGCTAATCACCTTCTGGGTTGACACAGTATTTTCCAATGTCTGTCAACGTATCTAAACAAAGAGTATTCCTGTCCTGCACTAACAATGCTAGTGATGTTTTTCCTTCAGGCTTCCAATGGATTTCCTGTCCACGTTTACGTCAATACAGTGTGTACGGCCTTTTTCTGCCTTTTGCGTCTCACATGCTCCCAGGCTAAATGCTACTTACATACACAGCCCTGGTTCAGAAGGGGGCCACCATCTTTAAATGACAAACAGCCTCATGTGTTCTGTCCTGATGTTAGCGTATTCAAGATGGCTAAGTTGTAGCACTGTTTCAATGCCAGTAGTTACTGTAGTCTTATTATTCACAGTTTCAGCCTCTCTTTATTTATAACCATAATACCTTCTGTCTCTTTTCTCCATGTTCCTCTCACCATTTCTGCCTCCCTCCTGGGTTAGCTTCACAGCCTAGCCTGTGGGCCCAGGGATGTTGTATTAATTAACTCGCCTCACTGCACTCCCATCAAGCTGCCAGTAAATGGCCCCGCTCCAAGTTTCCCCTCCCGGAGCGCGCCAAGATGGCAGCATTCGTAAACAACTTCAAATTTACGGTACTGCAGTCACAGCGACGAGGGCCCTGCTACTGCTTTTCACTGAGACGAAGTCAGGATGGAGCATGCAATTCAAATACAGCCCCACTCCACACACTGCTGTGTGGTTTTAATATGTAGATGTTGTTGTCATTGGACTCAAACTGCCATCACAGCCATCTATTTTCCCCCACCTCTCTGATGTCTGTGATTTGCAATCGCTGCTCGGAACAAAGTGCAATCTTTTTTAATGTGCGCCGCAGTGCTCAGCGGCGGAGCAGTCATAAACAACTCGGTGTACATTTTGTGTTGCATGATTAAAATGTGTGCAAATCTTTGTCAATATTAACATGGTTTGACAAGTAACCATGTAAATGACTCTGCTCCTTAGAGAGAAGAGAGAGAGAAACTGATGAGGTAAATACTACAGTGTATTTATTTCGCTGTCGTCAGGAAGACTTGATTTGAGATGCTAATAAAATAGAATTCAAATAATACAAATACAAAAATAAAACTCATAACCCGAGAGCTTGGGCATCTAAATTCATGAGTTAGGGCTGGTGCTGATTTAACACCTTAAACATTTCTTAAAGGTCAACTGGTTGTCCAGAGCCACTGAAGCCTGCAATGTAAAATTTACACCAACAAATATCAAAAGTATTTATAAAACATATATTATACTTACTTTTCATATATATACTGTATATGGCCCTGTACAAACTCTGTTATGTTTATTCTCCCCTGTCTCTTCTGTCCAATGTGTCAATAATGTTTCATTACACCTGTAATGGTATTTTGAGTATGTTGTGTTTTATATGTATATATACATAATAATAATAATAATAAATTTTATTTAAAAAGCGCCTTTCAGGACACTCAAGGACACTTTACATCAAATAATAAAACAGATAATAATTTAAAACAGGGCATAGAAACATGTTTAAAATCAGTGATAAACAAAAGCACAGAGGAGGGAGGTTAGAGGGAGTATGCTGTCCGGAACAGGTGTGTTTTGAGGTGAGTTTTGAAGGTGGGGAGAGAGACACAGTTACGGAGGTCGGGTGGTAATGCGTTCCAGAGATGGGGAGCAGAGCGACTGAATGCTCTGGCTCCCATAGTACTAAGGCGGGCGGGTGGGACGGAGAGGTGGATGGAGGAGGAGGATCTGAGGGACCGAGTGGGGGTTAAGACGTGGAGGAGGTCAGATAGGTGGGGGGGGCAAGATTATGGATGGCCATGAAGGTGAACAGGAGAAGTTTGTAATTGTTGCGGTATTTAACTGGGAGACAGTGGAGATGTTGGAGGGGTGATAAGGATAAGATGGTGGGAAGGGGTCTTTGTAATGATACGGGCGACTGCGTTTTGGACATACATATTGTAAACAATATGTATGTATGTATATATATATATATATACACACACACATACACATTTATATGTATGTGTATATACAGTATGTGTGTGTGTGTGTGTGTGTGTGTATGTATATACAGTATGTGTATATATATACAGAAATTACAGATTGTTTTTGCTGCAGCCTTGGCAGAGGTAGGACATGGCAGTGGACATATAGAAACAGGTAGGAAAGGCCCTGTACAAACTCTGTTATTATGTTTATACTCTCCTGTCCCTTGGGTCATAATGTTTCATCACACCTGTAATAGTATTTTGAGCATGTTGTTTTTCTACCTGCAAGGTTGTCGAGAGGCCTTGCCCACTTGCCGCCACCCCAGTTGGTGACAAGAAACAAATGAATGCAGCATGACAGCAGTGGTAAACACATTTTTCTGAAAAAAAAAATAGTCATGTGAACTAAGGTTATCTTAAATACACAATCGGTCCTTCCCTCAAATATCCCTGCCTCCTCTCACTGTCCTACAAAATATTTTTCTAGATCCACACCTGCTTCCTACTAATCTTTGCATCTTCATTTAAAAGTTGCAGAATTCTCCTCATGGTGTGTTCAAGATAACTTACTTAATTTAATTACACTACCACAGAAATAACAATGACCAAGACATCACCTACAGTAGTAATAAAACAAATAACTTCAGATCAGGCAGAATCTATTTATTATTGCTGCATGTTATTTGCAATATCTTGTTTCTAACAAAGTGAGAATCGACAAGGAACCCAATCAACAAGTGATATCCATAATGGAATTGGAAATGTTAAATTCTTATTGATTCCCATTCCTAACTAGCAGTGCCTCTCAGCACCAGCAATAATTCAGTTTAGTCTGAACTGATGTTGAAAAAGCCCGAACCAAAAGTACAACAGAGCTGAACTTCAATCGTAGAGAAAAGAAATACCCAAACATAGATCTAACACATAAGAGTTAGGACCAAGAATTTCTTTCTGTGAACTGAACCACTCTCTGTTTTGTTTTTTTCTTTCATTGGCCGTGGTGGTTGAAAATAACCCTTGCAGCGACACACCCAGAAGAGAGTCAAATCAAACATCATTATTCCCTGGGTAAGTATTGTGAAGAGATTCTCATCTCCAATGGCTGCAGAGAAAATGAGAAACGAGCCACTGTTCTCAGCCAGTGCTGGTCAACTCTGAATCACAACAGATGCAAAGCAAAGCAGCTTGCAGCCACTTCATCTCTCTAAACATAACTCACATTAGCGCACTCCACGGAATTATATGGACACATGCAGGCACAGAGTAAACCATAGACTTTCGTCATGGTCTGGTGTGTTCATCCACACCTCCAGTAGGGTAACAACCTAGTCTTTGTTTCATGGCCAAAGTTGGATTTTAGCAGAGAATGATAGATAATGATAGAGACTATTAAAGGAAAGGTAGTTTGTTTTTGTTTTTTTAATGCCTGACCTCTTCGTGTCCGTGCTGTAGAATTTATATATATATATAAAAACCACAACAAAAGAATGTACAATTTACAAAAATAGTCGTGAAAAAAAGGGAAAACACCCACATTTTCCAAAAATAGTTACAGAGGGCAATTAGACAGAGTTGGTTTCTTGAAGATGTTTCAGCTCTCATCCAAGAGGCTTCTTAAGTTCTTGGATGAGAGGTGAAACGTCTGAAGGAAACGCACTCCGTCAAGTTGCCCTCTATTTCGTTATTTTTGAATAAGATTACCTGGATGACTGAGAACCTACACAGACCAACATTTTCAGACTTTTTCAGTCCACTAAAAAATATATATTTAAACATTGCAAAATTGAATTTGACTCAAATAGTTGAGATAGTGTGTAAATATAATTTTAACATACAGTATAAGCATATGAAGGATATGAAGTTAAGAACTAATTATAAAAAACTTAAGGTAGTAAATATCCAGACATGTCAGAAAACATAACCTTTGAACATTTTCCAATGAGAAACAGTTGATGTAATCAAACAAAAGCTCCTCAATTAGGCACAAAAAACAGTATAGTTACTAAACTGTTAATACAACCTTGTTTATTGCACACTAAATTAATTAAAATCACTATGCACGCTTAACAGTTTACTGCCCTCTAATGAACACCTATTGCACTTTATTTTCTGTTTTTGCAGTCATGGAAATCAGTTGAGCCTGCTGGTTTCCCAGACAAAACCCAAGGACAGCCTCATACGGACATCCTCACACATCCAATACCTGTCACTACAGAACACCACCTGTCGATTACACTCCCCGAATGTACATTCTCCTCTGTCCCTGAGCCCTCTGCTGTTTCCTTCCTACTCAAACCCGTCTTTGATTTCTAAAGTCAGAAGCCTGAGACATGGATTTCCTGTCTGTTTTACTCTGAATATTGGCAGGAGCTTGGAGTGGGAAAAAAAAAACAGGCGAGGAAAGAAGCTAGGTTTGTTGATTTGCCATCCTGGTGCCGGCAGCTTGCCACAGAAGCTATTCTGGGTTTTTGTTTTGGGTGGCAGTGATGAAGATAGGGTTGAGGAGGAGGAGGGATTTTAGCATGGAGCTGCAAAATGAGAAATTAAGCGGTTTTCCCCAAAACATGGCAACTCATCGGAGTGGCATGTATTAGTTAAGGCTGTTATTCTAATCTGCACCTTCTATTCTTCACTGCCTGATTATGGAGCAGAGGTGCCAATCCTGTCTTACAGCTCAACTTGTTGACGGAAGCCGACACAGATCTGACAGAGCTGAAGGCTCCGACACCCTTCAGATGTAAGAACTGAAATCCAATCGGTGAGCATGTTTGACCGTGGCCTATGAAAAATGAGACGATGAGCTGAATGATGTCCAAACACAGCAGGATTCATTGATGAATTCATGTGAATGGAAATATGATAATCAGACTGGCTCACTTCTATGTTCTCTTATCACCAATATTACATTTAGAGCTGGTTAAAATAATTTGACTCGGTTTCCCTGTCTTCAGCTGATCACCACTTGTCCTTGATCCCTGTCCTTAAATGGAGAGCCAGCATAACAAAGCCACAATAACCACTTATTGAAAATCATATTTCAGGGTGGCGCTTAATGGAGCGTGAAGTGGGGACACATGTGAGAAGGCACTCAGAAAATGACCTGCTAATATCCATGACACATTAACAGGAGCATATACAAGTAAAGAAAAGGGCCACAATTCATCCACTTCATCCTAATCTGCTTAAATGGCTTTTCAATCACACTTTTTAAGTGCTTCTCTTTTTCCACAGACAGAACAAAATGCTGTGCAGTGTGAAAAGTGCTGTCTGTAAATCAATAACAATAATATGACAATATCACTTTATCACAAAAGCAGTTTTAAAAGTAGGCAACTGGACTCACCTAAAGTAAATTGAAAACGTTTTGCCTCTCATCCAAGAGGCTTCATCAGTTCTACTGTCCTGGTGGGGAATTTCAGGTATTTATCTATCCACTCCACTTTTGACAATGCACTACTGGAATTCACTTGTTCTTGGAATCTTTAACTTACCTTAAAAACTGCGACTTTTTGAAGAAGTTTAAAACTATAATAACAATTTTAGCATGCCCAGTTATTCATAAGTCACTGCAACAGATTTTAACTGGAGAAAATGGCAAAAGTTGAATCCAAAAAAACAACAGAAAGATTTGTGCTAAGTACTTTATTAACTCCACACACTGCAGAGGGGGTCCACCAACGTAGACAGTAGAATTGCGCTATCAATTTATAAGTGAGCAGTTGTGCCTAATGATTTGGCCAGTGAAGTTGCTTATCAAACTATTTGGTATTTGGACTACTAATAAAACACTGTTTAATTATTTGGACAGTGACAAATTATGAAATTATTAAAATATTGGGCTTTTTTAAAATTTTATTTTACCTTAAGTTTTTCATCCAAATTTGAAAAATATTTTTTGGTGTCATTTATGGTCAGATGTTAAAGATTATGATGAAATTTTTTGACAAAACGTTTTTCAAAATTTTATATTTTCTGCATGTTTCTCATGAAATAGCAGTATTCTGAAAAATTATTTTTTTTACATTTTTTGATTAAATCCTAATTTCGCAAATGTTACTCAGATATGGAAATTTTTTTATAAAAACCTTTGGAATCTTTTTTTTTTTAATTTTATCTTATCAGCATGGTTCTCATCAAATAAAGCATTTTTTTTTTAAGCATTTTTATAAGAGTCAAAATTCATGATGGTAAGGCTATAGTAAGG